CATCCATTATCTTTAACCCACTTCTTCAATTTTGGGTCACGGGGGTCACCGGTGCCCATGTCCAGCAATCACTGTGCGAGGGACGGGGTACACCCTGGACGGGTCGCAAGTCCATCACAGGGACACATAGGGGCCGTTTACACGGCGCGTATTTTGAGTGCATCTGCAGCTTTCTCTCTGCGGTTCTGCTGATCATTTACACGACACCAGTGGCCCCCTCTTTGAATCCGGAGGTTTCTGAACCCACCTTCCAGAGTGGAGGTTTTTCGCTGCCCCCCCGCTGAGAATGTAAACATCTCCCGCTCTGAGGCTTTGTGTTAAACCACATGCGCACACGCACGCGCAGACAGACGTTATATTTCTATCAACATGGCAGCGACACACTGCTTTCAGAACTACGACTGATGGAATATATTTTTAATCTCGTAGTTAATCTACGTCAGATTCCAGCTGCTGTGACAGACATCTGTGTTGGAAGAGACACAATCAGATCCAGTTCTAATATCACTGTTTATAGAACGAGGCACGCGCACAAGTCGCGCTGCACTATAACATACATGTGCTAAATAACAACAGTTTAATAATAATAAACAGTATTTATGTTAGTGTGCGAGATATAATGAAGCTCTGAGCTAAATGAAGCTAGCTGGACATTATGTAATTCAAATTTAAAATGATGCTAAACATATGATGCTTTAACTTGTTGTTACGTTGTTGTTAGGCACGCATGCGGGGGACGCATATAAACCCAAAATCCAAGTGTCAACGCAAATCTTACGAAAAAAACTACATCTCCCCCCCCCCCGGACAAACCTACATTTCCCATCGTGTCCGTGTAAATAGGGCCATAGAGACAAACATTCACTCTCTCACTCAAACCTAGGAGAAGCTTAATTTGCTCATCACTGCTCACTCATCACTAAACGTGTCCACTTTCCTTTTCCAGGTTGTTGCATTAATTCCTGAATTCCAGCAGATGGCGACATCTGAAGACACAAAATACTGTATAGATTTATCATCAGGCACCTTAATATATAATTCGCCCCATCACATTTAGATCATTTTTAACACTTCCATAAGCACTCTGATCATATTCTTCTCCTCATTGCCCCCAAAGGAAGCAAAGAACAATCATCAATGATAAAGATCATATGAAATGAATCATTCATCTCTATCCGCTTCACGCTCAGAGAAGAATATCACGACTCTTCATCGTGGTTGGCGAGTCCAAACACTTTAGAAACACATTTCTCAAGTTAGAAACTATAGAAATGATCC